GAACCAGGTAGTTTAAGAGTAGCTGTCATTTAGCTGGTGTATATATCTTAACTAAAGGAAGGGTGAGGGAGAGAGATAGGGAGGGTAAGGAGGGAGGGAGAGATGAAGGGAGGGAGAAGGAGGGGTTGATCGTTGGGGGAAGTAGAGAGAGAGAGAGAGAGAGAGAGAGAGAGAGAGAGAGAGAGAGAGAGAGAGAGAGAGAGAGAGAGATAAGGTTCTAAGTGTAGTTTGTTATATCATTTTATGTTTTACTTGTTCTCTGACTTCTTCTCTCTTCCGCGCTTCTCCCTTCTCTTACGCTCCTCCACTTCTCTCACCCTTAATACTCCCTCACCTTCTACCTCCCTCACCCTCTTTCCTCCTTCCTGAACACCTCCCTCACCCTCTCTACACCTCCCTCACCCTCTTTCCTCCTCTCTGACCACCTCCCTCATCCTCAACACTCCATCACCCTCACCCTCCCTCACCCTACACCCTCCATCTCCCTCACTCTCCCTCACCCTCCATCTCCCTCACTCTCCCTCACCCTCCAGTGGTCAGACAACCAGGCATTGTTCGTGGGCATTACAGTGTCACTTATGGCACCCGGATCTTTGGGCAGCTCCTGGATCTGGCCCTCCCGACTTGCCCGAGTGCCACCACCATCCTCCTACCCTCCCTTACTACATCCTGGCATCTACTACACCCTCATCCTACAAGTCCCCAGCACAACTAACTAGGCCTAGCATCTCTACTACTACTACTACTACTACTACTACTACTAATAATAATAATAATAATGTCAAACAGAGAAGGTCACAGCTCAACACCTTGGCGTACATAAGTATAAATTTGACATCATTAATAAGTAATTAAACTTTACTTACTGATGTACACTATATGATGTACTATGCGCCTAACAACATAATGTACTACTTTTCACCTTAGATAATATTGTAGAATGAACCTGTAGTACTGTAGCGCCTGAGTCACTAGCTACAGAAACACTATCAGCTGTGTGGACTACCAGAGACACAGGGGAGTGAAGGGAATGGCTGATATAACTAGTGACGAGGGTGAGAGTAGGTCTTGTTTCCCCCTCCCTCCCGCCCTCCCTCCTTCCCTCCTTCGCAAAAACTGGTAGTAGCTACACGTTTATCTACTCCTTCCTCTTCTCTCCTCACCTCCTTCTCCTTCCTCACTCACTCTCTCTTTTCTCCTCTCTTTCTCCATCCTCTTCACCTTCTCGTCATTCATTTTTACTTCCTTCTTCCTTGTCGTCTTCTCCTTCCTCATTCTTTCTCCTCACTCCCTTCTCCTTGACTTGCTCCTTCTTCCTCACCTCCTCCTTCATCCTCACCTCCCTCACCTCCACCCCCCACCCACCTCACTTCCTCCTCCTCAACAATAACTTCTCCTTCAGTACAAAATAAACACTAACTTAGTCACACCACATAGTAAGCTGGAGTATCAGGTTACAAGGCGCCTAGTACCTCGTCCTCGAGTTTAGTGTGACGTCTGCTGTTGCCGCCTGGTGTCGAGTATGAGTAACAAGGCTTCGGTGTAAACAGGAACTGCCACACACACACTTACCCACACACACACTCACCCCTACACACTTCCTCCCCCACACCTCCCCCACACACACACACCCACACACACACTCACCCCTACACACTTCCTCCCCCACACCTCTCCCACACACCTCCCATGACTCATACATGATAGTGTGGCTATAACACCTGGTATACTGAACCTCTGATACACAGGTAGGGTCAACACTACACTCAACCAGTGTCATTTCCCCAACGGTAAAAGAAGGTACATATCTAAATGAACTAATAATACCCGGGGATAGAACCAACGACACTTAAGATAGATATCGAGCATTGTATCCACTCAGCCACCAAATAATAAGATCATCCATTATTTATGTCTTCAATTTCAAGGTCTTTTGCGGCCCAAGTTCAGTAAATCATCGTAATATTATTGTTTGTCTGAAAGTTTCCTTCTCAAGGGGCTTAAGTCGTCATCTATTGGGGTTAATATATCTAGTTCAAGTTACTGCTCGAAGGGGTGACCGTGGCGTGACAAATACTCGAGTTTAAGTGATAGTTTAGGTGGGTTAAGTTGGGTTAGGGTAGGTTATAATAGGTTAGTTTATGCTAGGTTGGGTTATGTTAAATCAGCTACTTTAGGTTAAAATAGGTTATGATAAGTTAGGTTAGGTTAGGTTTGGTTAGGTTAGGTTTGGTTAGGTTAGGTTAGGTTAGGTTAGGTTAGGTTAGGTTAGGTTAGGTTAGGTTAGGTTAGGTTAGGTTAGGTTACACAACATTACATAATAAGTTATCCTCCCGCACGTTTGTTCCCTAAGACGGGTTAATGTATTGTCCTTTGTCCTGAAGTATTACACACAAGACAGACATTCATCTAGTAACAGACACACATAATGTTCCTAGGCCTATATTAACCCCGCATAATATTTCTAGCTTTAATAGACCAACATATGACTAGGCCTAGATATAGAGGCCTACATATAGTAAAACCTACATATGCTTAGTTCTACATATATATATAAACCTACATATGCCTAGGCCTACATATGCTTCAGTCTACATATGACTAGGCCTACATATACATAGGCATAAATGATGGGGGAATGTGTTTTGACGGTGAGAGATGGTAGAATGTTTTGGCAGTGAGAGACGGTAGAAGAATGTTTTCACAGAGACGGAAGAAGAATGTATGTTGCTCTTGATAACATTCAGGTCAAAAGGTCATAGGTCACAGAGGTTCGTAGAATAAATGTGTTTTTTATGAATGTTTCTGAGTGAATGTTATTGTTAAAATGTTATTACTGAGCTTCAACAAATAAACTCTTTAAATGTGTATTATTGGTTATAAAACAAATACACAAGTGCTCAACGAAGTGGTTCTCAACACGAGCCAAGGACCAATCAAAAGGCTTTTCTCTGGCTAAGACGACGAAGGACCAATCAAAAGGCTTTTCTCTGGCTAAGACGACGAAGGACCAATCATAATCCTTTTATCTGGCAAAGACACAGCTATCGGGAAACAATCACAGTACCCTTCAACCCCATAAGCGTGGATTTTGCTCATAGCGTCATAGATGTCGGAACAAGATCATGGCCTGGTTGTTGTGTTGGCTGTTATATTATACGTTATATAATTTATAATATACCAAGATCGACCGTATATCATTATTGCCACTGCTTGTATATATAAATATTATTATACGTCAACTATATATAATTTGTTGAGGTACCGCGTATATTACTCTCCTATACGTGTGAAGATTCTCAGACAATGTATAAATAAATATCATCAAAGAACAATTACCTTATAATATAGCAGGATGGTGAATCTAGTATAGCATTGTAATTGTAAATACTGAAAAAGGGAATCAAATTCTTTACAACACAAAATACGACGTTCATATGTTTCTTAATGTAATTGTATAAGTGATAAAGTCTTTCCAGCACAAAATACGACGTTCATTTGTTTCTTAATGTAATTGTATAAGTGATATAGCCTTTACAGCACAAAATACGACGTTCATTTGTTTCTTACGGTAATTGTATAAGTAATATAGCCTTTACAGCACAAAATATGACGTTCATTTGTTTCTTAATGTAATTGTATAAGTGATAAAGTCTTTACAGCATAAAATACGACGTTCATTTGTTTCTCAGAGTAATTGTATAAGTGATAAAGTCTTTACAGCACAAAATACGACGTTCATTTGTTTCTTAATGTAATTGTATAAGTGATAAAGTCTTTACAGCACAAAATATGACGTTCATTTGTTTCTTACGGTAATTGTATAAGTAATATAGCCTTTACAGCACAAAATATGACGTCCATTTGTTTCTTACGGTAATTGTATAAGTAATATAGCCTTTACAGCACAAAATATGACGTTCATTTGTTTCTTACGGTAATTGTATAAGTAATATAGCCTTTACAGCACAAAATACGACGTTCATTTGTTTCTTAATGTAATTGTATAAGTGATATAGCCTTTACAGCACAAAATATGACGTTCATTTGTTTCTTACGGTAATTGTATAAGTGATATAGCCTTTACAGCACAAAATATGACGTTCATTTGTTTCTTACGGTAATTGTATAAGTAATATAGCCTTTACAGCACAAAATACGACATTCATTTGTATATGTAAATCAAAACTGTCTCCATTTTTCTAAGAGAGATAGAGAGATATGATGATAATGGTGAGAGAGAGAATGAGAGAGAGAGAGATAGGAGACAAAGAGAAAGACAGGTGAAATGAGATAGAACGTAAAATGAGAATAAAATAGAGACAAATGGAAGAAGAAATTAGCACAGAAGAGAAAGAGAGACAAATGGATAGTAGGAGAGAAGAGAACGGAGAGATAGAAAAGTATGGAAAGAAAGAATAGAGAAAAACAGAGAAGAAAGAGAAAAAGAGACACATGCAAGATAAAAGGAGGGATGAGGAGACAGAGAGAGAGATAGAATGAGATAAAATAGGAGAGGCTAAAAGAACAGAGAGAGAGAGATAGATATAGAACGATAGAGATAGAACGATAGAGATAGAAAGTGAAAGATATAACAGGTATTCGTGATGCTAGGTAATTATAGTGCTAGGTACTGCTATGTAATTATAATGCTAGGTAATACTAGGAAATTATAATGCTAGGTAATAATAATGCAAGGTAATTATGATGCTAAGTAATGCTAGGTAATTATAACGCCGGGTAATGCTAGGTAGTAATAATGCTAGGTAATTATGATACTAGGTAATAATAATGCTAGGCCTTAGTCTTGCTGGAAGTAACAGATAGAAACCGGATGTTATTTCAACGTAATGATAACAGCTAAGGCGATAACATTACACCAGTTACACGTTCATTACACAACGTAACTCAACATCAAGGTGAGATGATTACGGCGTCACTCCTTCCCTTGTTGAGTGACACGTAATGATGGAGACATGAAAGGAATATTCCAATCTTACCTTATGGGTGGAAATCCTGTCTTCTTGGTTGAGGAAATGATCTTTATGTGTCTTGGTAATTTATTTTCTTCTTACTTCCTCTGTTTTTTTATTCAACGTTCTCTTACGTTTCACTTTTTTTTATTTTTGTTTTGCTTCGTTGGTTTTTTTTTTTTTTATTTACATATTTTTTCTGCCTCTAATGGTAACGTAAACTGTCATTATAAACAGTTTACACACACACACACACACACATGGTTGATTTAATGACCTTGTTTACGTGTGTTTGTTTGGTCACTTCAGGGTAGAGTTAACTTGCTTATAAACAACTTCTCTACTTTTATCATTCGTAAACGATTTTCGTGTTTACATAATACTGCAATTTTTTGTTTACAATGTTTTCTGATACGAATTCAGTCGTTTACTTAGTTGTCGTTACTGTAACACTGAAATACTTGTAAGTTTGTGACATATAATTTCCAGGTCACATTTTAATTCTTGGCTGTGTGTACTAGAAGAAGTTGATACCCACGTTGTTCTCTACACAATATACATGGCTTAGTACACACAGACACACTCACACACACATACACAGTACTCGTTCCGTCTAACACCTTCAGTATATAAGGGTTGGTATAGTGTATCACATCACCACCACTACATTAACCTCAGTTACAGATCATCATCATTAAACATCAATATAACTGTTTTTTTTTTGTTTTTTTAGACGTTCAGAATCACAAATTTTGTTTTTATTTACCGTCAAGGTGTGGTAGTTATGACCAGGGGGGCGGGGGGTGTACGTGTGTTAATCTGTGTGGGTTTTTTTTACGCTGGTGAGAGTTAAGAATACCAAGTGGTTTGTTGTCGTCTCTTAGGAAACCACTGTCCCCTAACACCCACTCCTCTTGACCCAGACACCAGGTCAAGACAAAGTCAGGCGAAAGTTACAAACCCAGTAGAGACATATTGAGAGGGTCTGCTACAAGGAGGAGGAGGAACCCCCCTTTCTCCGACCTGTTTATTAACGTCAGGGTGGGGGGCAGGGGAGGGGAGGGTGGGGCAGGGGAGGGGGTAGGGGAGGGGATAGGTAAATCACTCAATCACTAGTGCTTTTAAGTTTTCCTTCATCTTCCTGGGCGAGTGAGATAACCATGAGAGAGAGAGAGTGAGGGAGATGTAGGTAGTGGTGGTGGAGGGGGCAGCAACACACAGGGCGGCAACAGCGTGGCAAGGGAGGTGGAGAGACGAACACGCGACCTCACCCCACGCCACCGACACAACGACTGAGGCACCACTACCACTGCCAGCCAGCCCTCACTCATTCCCTCACCTCTCCTCCCTTCTCCTTCAATCTCCACCATTTTTTTTGTAACTGTTATGTCTCTTTTATAATATATCTGTCAAGTATCTCTCTATCCTTTATCAATTCTGACATCACCCTCTTCCTGACCCCAGCCATCTAACAGCTCTTAAAATTTATATGCATTGTTCTCTTACAGTTTTATCTACGTATCTGCCGCCTATCTCTTTATTAAAGTCTCTATCTCTTACTTTCTTTCTTTTTTCTCTCTCTCTCTCCACATAGTTCCGGGTTTTTCCCCTTGACCTCGTGTGTGAATCAATGATGTACTGTTACTATTTATAATCTCTAATACCTGTCTAATTCTTATTTATCTATTATTTTTACGCATTCTTCTTTACTACTGCAAGACGATTGTAGGAAGTGAGAGAGAGAGAGAGAGAGAGAGAGAGAGAGAGTATTTTAAGACAGGAAGGGAGAGAGAGTGAGACGGACATACAGTGAGTGATTGTAGTGTAAAAACAGGTGTAGGAAACGGCAGGTAAGATAATAATGACCAGGGTGACGCAAGGTGGAGGAAGTAACAGGTAAGTATGTGACCAGTCAAGGAGAACTGACCCCCAACTCCACCACCTGTCGGCCTAAAACCCTCAAGTTCCTCTCTCTCTCTCTCTCACTTGACACACACGGGTCAATCGCCGACTTCACCAACGACAATACTGAACCTTGAGGAGTTATGTTTTACAGGAAGTTGTGACGAGGCGGATAAATTTAATAGTTTATCCTGGAAGAGAAAATGTTGTTGTGTCAAATGTTGTTATTATTGTTATTATTGTTGTGTTTGTTGTTGTTGGTATTGTTATTGTTGCTTTCATTATTTGTTGTTGTTATTGTTGTTGTTGTTATTATTGTTATTATTGTTGTTGTCATTTTCATTATTTTTTGTTGTTATTGCTGTTGTTATTTATTATTATTATTATTATTGTTATTATGATTATTATTATTATTATTATTATTATTATTATTATTATTATTATTATTATTATTATTATTATTATTATTATTATTATTATTATTATTATTATTAATATTATTATTATTATTATTATTATTATTATTATTATTATTATTATTATTACTTAAGGTCATATATTGGGAATTAAGCCAGAGAGAGAGAGGAGAAAATAACATAATGAACAGATAAGAGGCAGGTTAATTGGTGAAATGGTGCAGGTGTGTGTGCGGGGGGGTGAGGAGGGGGTGAGAGATGTGTGTGTGTGTGTGGAGGGATGTGTGAGGGGTAGTGTGTGCTGTGTGCGTGTTACCAGAGAATTATAAACACACTATTTATCCCAATTGCCCAAGATTGGTGACCAGGCGTGTGTGTGTGTGTGTGTGTGTGTGTGTGTGTGTGTGTGTGTGTGTGTGTGTGTGTGTGTGACCAAGTAATCATGTTGTTGATATTTTTTAAACAATTTCTCGAGTCAATGGTTTATCTGTGTAAGTTGTTCACCTCGACGGCAGCCAAACAGCCCTAAGTTGTGAGATGTTTTGGTGATTGTTTTGGTCAGTAAGGCATAACGTGATCAGGGTCAATAAACAAACAAATTGGTGAATATTCGTAATAATCACCAGCAGAATTTTAAGTATAAGTTTTGCATAAAGTTATTGCAGTGTGGGCAAGTTTGGTGAGTACTTCACACCTAGCCTAACCTAACCTAACCTAACCTAACCTAACCTAACCTAACCTAACCTAACCTAACCTGAAGTGCTTATCAAGGTGGCGTTGGTCCCCACAGGTAAGGTACAGTACAGCTGAGATCATTAATAACACCTGGTGAATATTATAAGTGAGGGCTGTTAGGGCTGGAGGACATCACTGGTGGGGGGCTGTGAGGGCTGGAGGACAACACTTGTGAGGGCTGTGAGGGCTGGAGGACATCACTGGTGGGGGGCTGTGAGGGCTGGAGGACAACACTGGTGAGGGCTGTGAGGGCTGGAGGACATCACTGGTGGGGGGCTGTGAGGGCTGGAGGACAACAATGGTGAGGGCTGTGAGGGCTGGAGGACAACACTGGTGAGGGCTGTGAGGGCTGGAGGACAACACTGGTGAGGGCTGGAGGACATCACTGGTGGGGGGCTGTGAGGGGTGAAGGGGCAGGGCTGCGGCAGGAGGAGTGAGTAATGTAACAGAGGGACCCGGTGTTCAACGCCTCCTACACCGCTACAAAAACTGACTTCACAAGGGCAGCATCGAGGTCCTTAGTCTGTGAGAACCTCCTGTAGGAATGTTTACTCTGTAGTGTGTAGTGTAGAGGACCTGAAGGAAACAAGACATTAACTACTACTACTACTACTACTACTACTACTACTACTACTACTATACATGCGTTTCCAAGTGAGCGATTGTAGTTAAGTGAACGGATTAAGTGAACGGATGTCATAGTCAGATAACGAATAACACTAAGACAGAATCCCAGTAATAATTTTGATAAGAAACATGAAGGTCAATTGCTTAAGCCAATTGAAATATCTAGTCAAGGTTAATTACCAGTCAAGCCATCATAAAAAGATTACATTAGATTCCAAGGAAGAGTACAGCTGACCGACCTTATGTACTCTCTCGTTTTTTGTACTCAAGTCTTCAGTATTTTGTAATTACTGAATAAAACTGAGCAGTGAAATCTGTTCGGGAGTAAACTGCAGATTTTTATTCATTATTTCGCGATTTTTAAAGGATTAGTGGAAGATTAGACACCTTAGCTTACAGTACCTGGGGTTGGGGTCAATCTAACCTAATCTAACCTAATCTAACCTAACTTAACCTAACCTAATCTCACTAGCCATCTTGTTGCCTTCCCACGTGCCCTCAGGCCTTGGTGAGCTGGCAACACTGCTTCACCTCCTCCTTGACGCAAGCCCTGGCAACAACCACGTGCTGCTGCTATTGGTGGTGGTGGTCGTCGTCGTTGTAAACAAACTACTACTACTACTACTACTACTACTACTACGTCTAGTATTACAACAACTCCTCCTCCTCTCCCTACTACTACTACTACTACGTCTAGCATTACACACACACACACACACACACACACACCTGAACATCTGGCCAGTGCACTTTACACAATTTACTAAGAACTTTTTTTAAAAGTACTGATGGTAAAGTTAGGTTAGATTAGACGGTCCTTATACCAAGTTTGATGTGAGTTTTCAAATAGGCCCCAATCGTGATGGGGCCTAGTCCTAACGGGCCCCAAGCTTCAAGGCCACGTTAGGGTCTACAAGGCCTTGGCTTATTGATCCCTCAAGTGGGAGCGGAAGGTTGTTCAATACTCTTCTGTTATCAAGACAATGATACTGTTAGAGTTATTCTCTCTCTCTCTCTCTCTCGCTCTCTCTCTCTCTCTCTCTCTCTCTCTCTCTAAGGGGTAACTACGTATTTTTATAATCGTTTACCTACCACTCAAAGAAGCAGCCTTGGGCAGTGGTATGTGTGGCAAGGCCGCCTCAGAAACACAGGTTATCATTAGAGTTATATTAATACAGGTAGGTGGAGTAGGCTTACCTGTCGTGTGTGTACAGGAGACGTTTACAGTGTGTGTGTTTGGTCTTCCCGAAATTAATACCCTGCCAAGATAGGACACACACAGGGTCATATGTCAGTCATTTATTTTAATCTAAATTTATGAATACTCGAATATATAGATTCTTGTTCTTCTTTTGTTCTTGTTCTTGGAAATTCTCGTCATAATGACTTTCACAAACTTTATATCAACACAACTCAACATTCGTCAGGAACAAACTGCCGTAAAATGTAAAAAATAATAATAATAATAATTAAAAAAATAATAAACTAGTCGTAATTAATTACGTTTGTTGTCACAATCCTGTATATTTTTAGTGGCGTGGTTTCCGTTGATACATTCCTCAAAAATTCAGAAAAATTCTGTGGTAGTTTTAGAAGCACTTGTAGCTGAACATTGTTGGGTGTGTGTGTCACCTCCCTGAATGTATTATTGTGCGTACATAAAGCTTCACTTCCCATTTATACAGTATTCATAGTTGTTAATATGAATACTGTAGTTGATATGTGAGTTATGTAGATATATGTAGTTATTTAAGTCAGTCAGTAGAGGAATGAGTGACGCTCTTGTCTCCATTGTTTTGATATGACGTCATGACCAGAGTGATAGGATGGGTACCAATCACTGGTCTCAGTAGATGTGACGTCCTTGCTGAGTCGATGAACGGCCACCAATTAGTTTTGAAATTGAGGGTGACGCCCTGGCGGACTATAAGAACAGTAGCCAATCAGAGCCAAACACGGAGGCAGCGTGGGATATATACGGTAATGTTCAGTGTTTTCGTTGTGTTGTGTTTTGAGTGACTCGGTGAGTGGAGGCACTGGTCTCTGTGTTCTGATTGTAATTAATGAAATTTTGTTTCTTGTTTTCATTGTCGTAATGTTTGCGTGTGTGTGTGTGTGTGTGTGTTTTGATGTTGCATGTACACTTTACACACACACACACTACTGTAATGGTTGCCCCTCGTGTAACGAGGATGGCTGTTCCAAGGGCCACCTAGGCGTAAACTTGTTTAAGGTGTAGAAGCTGTCGCCAACACAACAACCACACCCTAAGTTAACGAGCTGCATGACCCAGTGTCAAGGAATAGTCCGAGAAGACCGGACAACTCGCCAACTGCATTGGCTAACCATTACCCCGGAATACGATCCGCAAATCGATTAACATCCAGGTTCCCAATTACTGCTGGGTAGACAGAGGCAAATGGCGTAATGAAACGGGCCTTTAGTTTCACCCTGCCCGGGGAATGAACCCATTACACCATAGGTTACTACTACTACTACTACTACTACTACTACTACTACTATTTTTTTAATTTTTTATTTATTTTTTTTAAACTTGGCCTCCAGCCTCCCCCAATAGCCACACCTTCGCCGCCATTTTATTACCTTAAAATTAAATATCCTACTACTACTACTACTACTACTACTACTACTACTACTACTACTACTACTACTACTACTACTACTACTACTTTCTTTTCTGCCACTTGGAATCGAGTAAGACGATCATCCAACGTCAACAAGGTGTGTGTGTGTAATAATAATAATAATAATAATAATAATAATAATAATAATAATAATAATTATAATTAACAGTTTATTAAAAAAATTCGGCAGCCCGAAGTCTGAAAATATACTATACAGTGGACAAAAACGACTTATTACAAAGACATGGGATAGGTGGGTCATTTAACAAAAGCTTTCATTACTGAAAGAAGAAGGAACATGAATTGAACATACAAATTATTATGGTTTGCAGTTGATGGCCCGGGCCTGGACTGGTCATGGGGACACCAGGTGGTGTGGTGTAGTAACTCGTCCTCGGGTGTTGATATGAAGGACCTCACGTGGTCATGGGGACACAGGGTGGTGTGGGGTGGTGTCACAGTACCTCACTCTGCTGGGTGGTGTTGTGTTTATCTCGTAATAAGGTGTGAAGCCGACCCTCTGTTGTTCCCATGGTGGACTGATTAGCACCTCCTGGTCAGAAGATGGTGGTCAATTCCCAGGGTTGCTTATGTCAGTGGCGGGTCACTGCCCTCACTGGTACTGTCTGGTGCTGAACTCACTGGCTTAAACACTGTTCATCAATGTTCAACACTGATTCCACTTCTTTCCGAAACGAAAGTGTCACTTTTGATTATGTTGATATCCCGGTGGTGAGGATGGGTCGGGGAGAGGGACTTGTGGAATGGGCCGAACATTGTGTGTGTGTACAGTGTTCCCACAGCTGAGAGCACAAACAGACATATTTCATTGTAGAGATTATTATTCCCGCAACCATTTAGTGGTATATTTGTACATGACTCTCTCTCTCTCTCTCTCTCTCTCACACACACCTCCCTCTCTATCACCTCACCCCCCTCTCTCTCACCTGCCCCCCTCTCTCTCACCTCCCCCCTCTCTCTCACCTCCCCTCCCGGACATGCCAAGTTACACATCACAATAAACGAAGCAGTTGACGACCTTCCCTTCGACCACGACCTTCCCTCAGAACGACCCTCCCCATATACGACCCTCCACGCCCCCCCCACATAACTCTACCACTGCACGGCCCTTTACATAATGGTCGTGTGTGTGTGTGTGTTGTGTGTGTGTAAAGGGGTCACAGAGGTCAAAGGTCACAGTTGAAGGTCAAATTGGCGTCGTTGCTAGAGCTTTATGTGGGAACTGTGATTATATGGGGGAAGTGAGGGGTGGAGGGGTGAGGAGGGAGGGTGAGGAGGGAGGGTGAGGAGAGGTGAGGGGTGAGGAGGGAGGTGAGGAGGTGAGGGTGAGGGTCATTGTTCTATTTTGATTACCGTGTGTGCATCCTGACTCCCCTCACACACACACACACACACACACACACACACACACACACACACTCCTGAACCTTCATTAACTCTCAGATCCAGCAGATAGTGGCCACGCCCACGCCCACAGAGGCTGAGAGTTCCACAACACACTCATGACAAACACACTTTATCACGCCCATCACCTGCCGGACGTGGTCGAGGGCTGATGACCGTACCTGATTGTCGGCGGTGATGATAACAGCACACACTCAGGAGATACGCTCATGACACACACTCAGGACACACACTCAGGATACACCTCAGGACACACACTCAGGACACACACTCAGGATACACACTCAGGACACACACTCAGGACACACACTCAGGACACACACTCAGGACACACAAGATACAACACCAAAATCAGCATGAAAATAATAATTCCGCACTTTAACCGCACACCTTGAGGAAACACAGCACCACAAACCGCATAATGACCGCAAACATTCAAGAAACGTAACACCAAACACCGCAAGATGACCGCACATATACTCAGGAATTGTTGTTGTGTTTATTGTAGATGTTATTAGTGTTTTTATTTGTCTGTTGTTGTTATTGTTTCTGTTGTCTCTCTCTCTCTCTCTCTCTCTCTCTCTCTCTCTCTCTCTCTCTCTCTCTCTCTCTCTCTCTCTCTCTCTCTCTTCAGCTGGTCTGCCCTGAGAGTCGTGGGTCATCACAGCGCTGAGAACAGATGGGATTAGCTTCATTACTTTATGTGACGTTCTGCTGAGTTGCTGCTCCACCCCCACCCACCTCAGCCCCACACCCCACCTCACCCCCACCCCACCTCAGCCCCACCCACCCCCACCCCACCCTCAGCCCCACCCACCCCACCCCCACCCCACCTCAGCCCCACCCCACCCCCCACCCCACCTCTAATGTTTCTCCAGGTAATATAATTAATAATATAATGCAGGTAGAGACGTTACTATAGGATATATTACATTAAATCCTAAGACTCTGCTGACTTGTTCGCCCTCACTCCCTCAATAACTGTGGTTTCTCTGCAGCTTGGTTGACTGATGGCATCCTGGCGTGAACCAGTGACCTTTAGGACGAGAGGTGAACGATGTATCTACTCAGCCACTGCTCCTCCTTGTACCTGAGGTAAGTCAATTACTGTTTCCTTGTACTCCAGGTGAGTTAATTAATGATGACTACTTCAGGTAAGTTAATTAATCATGACAGTAGTCCAGGTGAGTTAATTATGGAGGAATACTTCAGATAAGTTAATTACTAACGACAATAATTACACTTTGTTAATTAGTAATAACTGTGTTTTTACGTAAGATATAAAAACGGCCCACGGATTGGTTAGTATATTACCCTCTTGGCCAATAAGCGAGAAACCCATTACGACGACGAGTCATGATTGGCTGTGAGTGTGGCGAAGACAATAATAGGATTCTCAAAGATTCTTCCGTCAATATTTTCCTCATAAAACTAAGACACAAAGAAGGTAGAGTCTTAGCGCAGTATCAACGTCATATTGGCGGCCATCTTCGTGCTTTACCTTAATGGACCCAATTAACGGGGTCTAACGTGTCTCCACTTAAGATTTTTGGGGAAAATTTAACGTAAGACTGTTTCAGAATCTGTCCTTGTGTTGTATTGTAAGTGTGTCAATTAGGTGTTTGACATACAGGAATTAATAGATGAAGTCCGTAATAAAGGGGGTAGTCCGTAATAAAGAGGGGAGTCCGTAATAAAGGGGGTAGTCCGTAATAAAAGGGGTAGTCCGTAATATAGAGGAGTCCGTAATAAAGAGTCCGTAATATAGAGGGGAGTCCGTAATAAAGGGGGTAGTCCGTAATATAGAGGGGAGTCCGTAATAAAGGGGTAGTCCGTAATATAGAGGAGTCCGTTAAAGAGATATAAGGGTAAAAGGAAGGAAAGAAAAAGTAGATAGATAGATAGATATTTGGTAAAATCGTCATATTTACATTGATTCAGCATGTATATAGACAGTCCAGGTTTACACACACACACACACACACACACACACACACACACACACACACACACACACACACACACACACACACACATATTGTTAAGGTGCATCACGGTGTCATAATCGATCACAGTTAGTCAGGGAACACATACAAGGGGGCCAGGGTGTGTCAGGGGTGAGAGAGGATTACAGGGTCCGACTCAGGTACAGCAAACAGGTATGTGTGGCCAGGTGAGAGAGAGAGAGAGAGAGTACTGTACCCTACTCAACATTGTCTTATATCGACATCAAGATCCTGAAAAGTTCATAAGTTAAATAATTTCTCGTAGCTGAAGATCCAAGTTACCATGAGACTCTACCTAGATACGTTGAATTAGCATCAGTTACGAGAAAAAAAAACTTAATTTAAGATAATCGTTGTGAATCTGTTTTAGGTCGTGGTGTGTTTTCAAACTCTGGTGAGGCTTCTGTTATGAAGGTTTATTATCCAGTAAAATACATAGTGTTATGACCTCTATACACATATCTATCTATCTACCATGAGGATGTCAGTGACTATGCTATAAGGTCGAAGGTTACTGTGTGTTGGATGGTATTGTCACTCTTACAGTCGGTGGTTATGTTGATCCCTTTGGTACAGGCGACGTAATAACCGATATTCACACACACACACACACAGTCAGCTCTTGTGGTCAGCTGGTCACCTCTGCCGGCCACAGTCAGCTCTTGTGGTCAGCTGGTTACCTCTGCCGGCCACAGTCAGCTCTTGTGGTCAGCTGCTCACCTCTGCCGGCCACTGTCAACTCTTGTGGTCAGCTGGTCACCTCTGCCGGCCACAGTCAGCTCTTGTGGTCAGCTGGTCACCTCTGCCGGCCAGATATATCTCTCCTTGTATTATTATATCTCACACGCATCAGGCTCCTCGGTCAACTGGGACATGTCCTTGGCCCGGATAACCCTGGAACATGACCAAGTGTTTCCCAGAGTTCATTTTTCACACACATGGGGTTTCTTTGGTAAGTTAGGTCACGTGCTTGACCTAAAATACCCCCCCCTCTGTTATGACCCAGTGTATCGTCTTGTATCATTTTCACACCTATGAGGATCCTACGTCTCGTCTTCACCTCGCTGCTGACCTCTGATGACCTTGAAGAACACCCAGCGTTTGGTAGAGGCCGTGACCTCCCGGGAGAGGCCATACAAGGTCAACTGCTTGACTCCGTCCAGGGGGACAGCCTCGTCATTCGGTGTTGCTCTCAGATGCACTGAGGAAGATGGCGGAGAATTATGTACGTGACTATACTGTACTGTAGGGGCACGAGATTATTATTATTATTATTATTATTATTATTATTATTATTATTATTATTATTATTATTATTATTATTATTATTATTATTATTATTATTATTATTATTATTATTATTATTATTATTATTATTATTATTATTATTATTATTATTATTATTATTATTATTATTATTATTATTATTATTATTATTATTATTATTATTATTATTATTATTATTATTATTATTAACTCACCACAACATTGTCTGCAATAGAAGAAGAACAACACCAGTGCCACGACCATCATTAAGAGGACGACCCCGGCCACCAGCACGACCCACCACCACCACGGCCACGACGGGCAGATGGTATCCCTCGTCGTGATCCACTGAGACGACCCCCTGGACGACACCTCCAACCCCACCACCCAGTTGACGTGCCACCAGTACTGGGTCGTGTAGAGGTGAGGGGTCCCGTCTACCCATACACTGATCGCCCAGTTATCCGGTCCGTTCCTGTCGTTCCTGACGGTCTGTACGGTCAGTTTGTACCAGTGACAGGTGTCTGTTAGGTTCATCTCCCTCGCTGACATGAGCTGACTGTGAGAACCCATCGTCAGGTCGTTGAATTTACTACTGACGGAGGAGAGAACCTTGTTGACATTGTCCCTCACCTTCTCCAGTGTGTCTCCTATAAGCCAGTCCTTCACCCCTTGCCACAGGTGTCCGGGTAAGGTGTCAGCATCGTCTGGCGTGGCGCTGAGCTTCGCCAGGCTAAGAGTAATGTTCAGGGTGTTGAAGTCTGCTCCGGGTTTGATGATGAGTGTCAAGTTCTCGTAGCTCCAGTGTGACACTCGCTTGACTGTTGTGAATGATTGTGTTCCGTTGGTGATCACGTCTGGTCCACACGTCCCCTCGATGTCCTGTCGTCCCTCCTGCAGGCATTGTCCCCCAGAAGAAGGTGCTGACGAAGATTCTTCCATGTATAGAGCCACCAGTAGACTCATAGCCAAGACGCGCCAGAAAGTCATTTTAGTTTTAGTTTGCTGTGAGTCCTGATGCGGGTATTTGTGGAGCTGTGTACAGTATATACTTCTCTCACTACACCAAGGATACCCGTCTCTCACTACACCAAGGATACCCGTCTCTCACTACACCAAGGATACCCGTCTCTCACTACACCAAGGATACCCGTCTCTTACTACACCAAGGATACCCGTCTCTCACTACACCAAGGATACCCGTCTCTCACTACACCAAGGATACCCGTCTCTTACTACACTAGAAAAACACCTCACTTGTAGTAATAGAGGAACATATCTCTCTCTCTGTCTCTCTCTCTCTCACTTACTTCAGAGAATGGCGTGACCTTGTGTCTGCGTCCTTTGTACCGGAGTGAAGACAGCCGTCGACACAATGCCAGCACGAGCAATCAGCATCCTCCGGCGTTCTCTTCTGCCTGCCAGTGACCCGCCAGGCTAACGTTCACTCAGCTGTCATCTTCCTGTACTGGCGTTGGTGTATATTCCAGCCACAGAAATATTTAACGACGCAAAGTTTTGAAAAGAATAACCAAGATCTTTTCTCAGAGCCGCGACAGACAGACAGACAGACAGACGGTGATGTTTATGTTACGGCCACAAGCGAGACACTAGAGCTTGTTCAGTCAGTACCCGGGAGCTCATATCGCCGTCGTCGCCTCCTTCATTAGTAGTGAGGGAAACCCAGAGCTACGTGCTGTGGTATCTGTGTGTGGGGGGGGGTAAGTGAGAGGAAACAGGGGAGTATAACGTTGAATGGGGGGTATGGGTGGAGGTGGGAGGAGGGATAGAGGGGGGGTGAAGGGGGTGGGAATGGGTGTATGGAAGGGGTGGGAAGGAGGAGGTGGGGTATGGAAGGGAGGTAAGGGGAAGGGTATGGCGGGAATGGGAGGACGGGGTAGGGAATATAAAGAAGGGTGGAGGGGGAGAGAGGAGGGGCGGAAGGATATGAAGGGGTGATAGGAAGGGAAGTGGTTTCCTTTCCCAGTTCGTTGATAAAAATAATCCTCACAATTTCGACACATTAGCGATACTCTTCTACTTCAGGGGCTGTAACGGCTGTAACGGCTGTAACGGCTGTAGTCTCCCAGAGTGTTGCAGGAAAACCCCACTATTGAAGTTGCTGTATTTTGCTGTATTTTGTTGGAAAGCTGCAAGGAAATAGCTTAGATGTTTTGTATTAACTGTAAATCTCTTTCTCTCTCTCTCTCTCTCTCTCTCTCTCTCTCTCTCTCTCTCTTGCACGAAAACGTACCCCATCGCCTCCCTGCTGATTGTGACGTCATGCACCGGATGTGACGTCATATGCCGGGAAAACCAAAAACAAAGGTTCTTGATAACGTTAGTTGCCAGTGAAGGTATTTATTGGTCATTTATGTCTTAATTACGAAACAATTAACATTTTAATCTGTATAAATTATGGATTGGTTTAAGCTAGGATTAAACCACCTCAGCTAACATCTTAAGTTAGGATTAAATCACCTCGGCTAACACCTTAAGCTAAGATTAAACCAACCTCAGCTAGCATTTTAATTTTAGCTGCTTCAGGTTAACACTTAGCTGGCACTTGGCACTTGAGAGTTGAGGGTCTTAACACAGAGAGTCGAGTGTGAGCGAAGGATCTGTCCGAGTGAGTGTGTGTAGTAGTAGAGGCGCTGAGACATGGCAATGGTCTCTCTCTCTCTCTCTCTCTCTCTCTCTCTCTCTCTCTCTCTCTCTCTCCTCTTGTCCTCCTTCTACTCCTTCTCTTCCTCCTCTCCCTCCCTTCTCCCCTTTCTCATTCTCTTCCTTCTCCTTCAACCTCTCCTTCCTCTATTTTCCCACATTATCTAATTCTTTCTTTTACCTCCTCTTCCTCCTCATCCTTTCCCCTTCTTCTTCCACAACCATCTTCATCAATCTCACGCTCCTCTTTCCTTCTCCTCGTCCTCTTTCTCCTCCTTTCTTCTTCTTCCTCCTCTCCTCTTCTTTTCCTCATTTTCCTCCTCCTCCTCCTCCTCTACAGTCATCTTTTACCTCACCCTCCTCCTTTCTTCTTCCTCTTCCTCCTCCTCCTTCCTCCTCTTCCATTGTCCTCCATCCTGCTGACGGAGGCCAAATGGATTAAACTGCCTTGAGTCAGGGTCAGAAGGAGGAACGCGAGTACTTGTGACCAGGGATAGACTGTCTACATTAGTGGCTCTCTCTCTCTCTCTCTCTCTCTTCTCTCTCTCTCTCTCTCTCTCTCTCTCTCTCTCTCTCTCTCATTTCTGCGTCAAGAGACAATTATGCAGTTGTTTTTTGGGGAGTTTTATGTTATCATGGTAGTTCTCCTTTGTCGAGTTTGCCATAGTTTATTCATGGCTTCCGGTGTGTGTGTGTGTGTGTGTGTGTGTGTGTGTGTGTGTGTGTGTGTGTGTGTGTGTGTGTGTGTGTGTGGAGAAAAAAGTTTATAATGTGTTGTTTTGATTCGTGTTGTTTTGATGATGTTTGTCTGTGTGTAAATCTGTGTCTCTCTTTCTCATCTTTTCTTCCTTTACTGACTCTCTTTTTGTTTATTCTTTTACCCTATTCCTCTCCATCACTCTCTCCTCTCTCTTCCTCTCCTCCCAGCCTCCTCCCTTCTCCCCTCTCTCTCTGTGTTGCCATATTGGTGGGTCACGAACCTGTTGTGTTGACTTAGGGATCTGGCACACTTGTTTTCCAAAAAATCGTAAGTTTTTTGTTTTGTTTTCATTCTACGACAAAAAGATGGATTCTCAAAGGTTCATCTTGCCAATTTCAGAGATTATATTTTATTATTTCGATTTACGATACAACGATACTTAAAGGATCGTAAGTTATTTTATATAAGTATGTGTTTATTTGATCTTACGATACAAAAGATGGATTCTCAAAGGGTCGGAAATGATCAGTAACTTTCTTAAGCTTTGAGGTGTAAGAAACGTATCTAATTTGTTTGTTGTTTTATTTTAGTGTATTGTTAATGTTTTTTTTCGGCTTGGGACTTTTCTGTCTGCCTGTCTGTCTGTGTCTTATTCTCCCTCCCCTTTCTTTCACTACTTCTCTCTTTACCTCCTTTTCCCCCTCGCTACCTATCTCCTCCCTCCCTCCCCCCACACACACACACTTTCAGCACCTCCCTCGTCAGCCAACATGATGAAGGGCGTCACCCGTCAGGTCTCCCCTGGTCGACCCTTTTGTGGAGACTGGCACCCTGGCGCTAAACCTTATATATATATATTTGCACATATTCTCATCCTCACATTTTTGCCTTAATCCGGTTTTCCCGTATCTCCTTCCTTCCGTTTTCCCCCGTGTTTCCGTCTTTTTTCCCCGTGTTTCCGTCTTTTTCCCCCGTGTTTCCGTCTTTTTCCCCCGTGTTTCCGTCTTTTTTCCCCGTGTTTCCGTCTTTTTTCCCGTGTTTCTGTCTGTTTTTCTTCCATGTTTCCGTCTTTTTCTTCCCCCTCTCCTCCTCCCTCCCCCTACACTTTACACAAGGCATTATATCTCCTCTTCCCAGGCCGAGGCGACTGAATCTCCGTCTACAGGCAGGTCTTGTGGTTTCGCTTTCAAGGGGTCTTCTTCTTCTTCTGCCCCTTTTTTTATACCCCCCTTTGCCCTTTTTACCTCATGCCCTTTTTATCCCTTCTGTCATTTTTATTGTTTACTTTCGCCTTTTTTTCATATTTGCTTTCGCTCTTTTTTATAATTCTGTTTATTCTTTTTCGTATTTTGGTCTTTTTTTATATTTCCCTTCGCCCTTTTTCGTCTCATTCTGCCCTTTATCATGTTTCTTCCCACCCCTTTTTGTGCTTCCGTCCCTCCCTTATGATCCCTGTCCGTAAATTTCCTGTCTACATCTTCCCTTTTCCGTCCTCTTATGGCCTCCGTCCGTGAGTATTGTGTCAGTCTTCACTTTATTTCCCGCCTTCTTTGGGGGTTGGTCCCAGCTGTCTGTCTCACCCCCCGCGTCGAGAGTGTTCTGAAGCGCGCGCTACATACTCACGTGTTATCGTCCACTAAACACTCCGTCAGCCGAGGCATAAATTCACATTCTCGCCCCACCAAAATAAAAGCCAGTGAAGGCAAAGCAACAGTGCCTGGCGTCTTTATCCCTAAACCATTCAGCCTTATTAGAACCTGCACTGTCGTTCATTAACGCCAGACGAACGATAGCCCCTGTCTCCTACCAACACTGGCGGTTCTGGACGCGTTTAAACCTTCGCCAGACGAACGAACGTCCCTCTCTTCTATTGCCACCACTGACATTCACTTACGACTCAAATATTCATAGACTTCTCGTTACCGTTTGTGGTAAAGTTTTAGACGCACTTAAATCTTCGCCAGACGGAGATTCACTCCATCCACCTATTGCCTTTTCTGTCGTTCGGGTTATTCAGCAATATGACAGTAAACTTTTAGATGTGATAAAAGAGTTTTACTTGTCGTAATATTCTCACCTCCCGGGTCCATCGGCTGGCGGAGGTGGGAGGGGTTATTGGAGGTTTTTGGGGGATGGTTAGTTCAGGTGGGTCATTACACAGGTGAGTTACACAGGTGGGTCATCACACTGGTGGGTTATGCAGGTGGGTCTCACAGGTGGGTCACACTGTTTATAGTGTCGTGGGTCTTGTTGAAGCAGCTGGGGCGACCCAGTGTGGCGGTGAGTCAGCTTCACCATTTAGCAAGACAACCCCTGAACCCCTCGTCCTCCCCTCCTCACCCCTCAGCCTCCTCACCCCTCAACCCCCCTCCTCACCCCTCAACCCCCCCCTCCTCACCCTCAACCCCCCTCCCCTCACCCCTCAACCCCCTCCCTCACCCCTCAACCCCCCCCTTATTAACCTGCAACACCCTAGACCCTCCTCTCCTCCCCTCACACACACACGATATTTCAGGGCTGTCGATAATCTGGCAAAAATATCAAACTCGGAGCTTGATGACCGCCAGTGCAGGCAAACAGAAGCCCGGCGTATATTCTATAGACGCCTGATTATTATTTGACATATGGTGTATATATTAGATGTTCGACTGAAACACGACCCGGACCTTCGTACACTGAAACACGACCCGGATCTTCGTACAATGAAACGTGACCCGGATCTGTGTGTACCCACTCACAGTTACATGACCCGGATATATTTACTCGATGCAGTTGGTCGTCGATGGTATATATTTGATTGCCTCTCAAAATGTTGACAATATGATGCAAAGCCTGACAGAGAGAGAGAGAGAGAGAGAGAGAGAGGACACACGCATTATACAAGTCTCTCAGCAATTCTGTCAGTCCTAATTTCTAAAACTTTCCGAATGTGTGTGTGTGTCTGTGTGTCTGTCTGTGTATATGCAATATTTATATATACGATAATTTAATGTATAAATGAATGGCGAATTTACACTATATCTATCTATCTATTTATCTATCTGTGTTTTTCAGTGTCTGTCTGTCTAGGTGTGTGTTTCAGTGTCTGTCTGTCTGTCTGTCTGTCTGTCTGACTGTCTGTCTATCTATCTGTCTGTCTGTCTGTCTGACTGTCTGTCTATCTATCTGTCTGTCTGTCTGTCTGAGTGTATGTGACATGACTGTCTCCTCACACTCAGAATCATGGCCTCTGCTATATTCAATTTACATATAAAACACACATCACCGTCCGTGTAGGTGTAGCGGATTT